CCTTATTCGTGTTACATTTATGGGGATTCACATACCCCACAAACGCAAACTTAACACAAAATCAGTTCGAACTAAAAATAGAACTACGTTTACCAAGTCAATTCAGTCAACACTATTAATTAAACAAAGTTACCCAACGTCCGTTTAAACATTTACTGAGATTACCCACACAACAAATTGGTAACCTCACAATAATTTTTGTTAGCAAATTACATTTAAATACTTTCATTAGTTTATTAAATTAGATAATTAGCGTGTAACGACCATAAAAATACATAATTAAATAATTATTTCAGATAACCATCCACCACAAGCAAATATATACACACATACATATGTAAGTATGTACACGGTCTGATGATCTGATGTTATACTTTAATGTATTAGATTAGTCTCCGAACGTGTATAAATGGGAATAAGCAAAGCAAAGCGAAGGGAGCCGCAAACATTTGTTTGCAGGATAATGTGATTGAACCCAGTCGCACACACACACACATCGACTCAAGGGAAATTCCCTAATACTGTTAGATAAAATGGAAAAAGGATTAAATACAATTTTTTTTAAAGTTAAAATTGTTAATTTTCGATTTAGAACTATACCAGGAGGTCACACTTAATGTTCATTGGTTTCATTCTTTTTTGCTAGTTATGTCATTTGGCATTTTATTATAGTCAATTTAATTATAGCATACCAGCAATTTCACTTCATGATTATAACAATGTAAATGTATAATTAGTAATGAATATTTCGAACAAAATATAACAATTTCGGAATGATGTGCAATATGGACCTCTGACATATTTATGCGTTATTCTAACTTGATATATCAGTCTCATTTTGGTAACAATCTATTAAATTTACGTTAACCATTTGGGCTTGTATGTATGCATTGTATGACATGTTAAGAAAAACATCCATTCAGCCCTGCACAAATGTTACAATTGTTTTTTGACCGGAGGAACTTGCCCCATATATACACTCTCTTACCCTATATATACACAATTTCACACGAAAGTCTAATAATCAAATATGATGCACATTTCCGTGTAGATTGCTTTTTTATATTGACCTGTAAAGCGACTGCAAGATCAGGAAAGTTTTAAATTGCTAGGTCCATTTGAACCCTTAAATGAACATCTTTTAAAACAAAAGGCTTCAGTTTTGACCCCAAAACCTACCCCCAATCAAAATTTCGTGAGGGTCGGACGAATATTGTGACCTGTGTATAATTCTCTCAATACAGTGTGTAAAGAAATTTACAAAATGTATAATTCAAAATTGTAAGTCTCTCAGTATGTCAAAAATTGAAAAAATATAAAAAAAAATATTCACTTTTTCAATATGGGTTTATTGGGCTTTTATGGTCAAGTTAATAAAATGAAAATAAACACTTTTTTATTGTCATATTTTTATGCGGTTTTCTTCGATTTTATCCTTCTCTGGCAAGAGAGTGAACAGTTCGTGTGTTTTTGGTTTCGCCCGGATTAAAAATATTCGCGTATAGCAACTTTGGTCGATTTTTCCCCTAAATATTTTGCGGTCATCTCCAAAAACAATAGGGTTCTATTCTGACCCTAACCCCACCTCCATATTCAATTTCGTGCCATAATCGCGACGGACGGACATACATAGCTAGATCGATTCAGCTCGGCGAGATAGGAATATCCATATATAGTTTCCTATGTCGGAGACCAACATATTTTGAGGTGTTACATAATTTTTGGCCCAATCAAAATTATAATACCCCCAACACATAGTGGTGTAGAGTATGAAAATCTATTTAATTTCGGTCATGTGATCTCAGAAAAAAATGTCTTAAAAAATCAAAGATTTTCGTTAGGGGTTATTTGGAAAAAAGTTTAGAAAAATATACGTTTTCCTGACTGAAGATCCTTGAAAATAATCACCCTTATTATGGTTGGCGTTGTCGTAGGCGTTCAAGTGTCGTAGACGTTGTCGTAACTAGAAATGTTTGGTATTATGTACAATTTTCGACTACGTTCTTTTTGTAATAGATATGAAAAAGCAGGGTGCTCTGGAATAATAAACATTTTTTGAATTTACGAGCTACCCGGTTAAAAGAAAATAAAAGCGTCAGTTGAAATGGTTATTTGTTTAATTAAATATTGAAATATATTAAGTCCTGCCAATTATTTAGCTGAGTATGAAGATAAGTATATTCAAAAAAAAAAAAATTTAAACGCGAGGCGAAAAATAATGCGGGTTATTTGTGCTTACAGAGGGAAGCGCACAGACATCCTGGATGACCACAACCTGCTTCTGTTGCATATTTCGATGTAGTCTGTTTACGCTTGGAGGAGTCAGTGTGCAGGGATTGTGGTTTTCTTTGTCTTCACTAATTTCAAACCCTTCAAATAGTTCCTCCTCAGTCTCCAGTTCACCAAGTGTTGGACGCTGTTGAATTCAAATTGCTTGGTTCTCTGCATTTACAATTGTCTATAATTGTAACAAGCGTGATGCTGCTTCCTCCGCGTCGCTTAAAATGAACTGCTTGAAGGGCCCTCCACCTGTAGCACGACATTCTGCCTTATTATGAACTAGCTTCTTCCTCAATTTGTATTCGGCCCAGACTTTCATACAAGCCTCGCCTCTTCGAACCGGCGGTCCTAGGATATTGAGTTTTGCACCAATTTTGTTCCATTCTTCATTGATGTTAATTTTTTTTCAAGCCATTGCTGTAACCTCTAGCCAAATTTTGATTCATTTGCAAGATCTGGATCATTTCGTCAAATTGTTTCTTCGTTGTGACTTTAAATCTAGAAAAAGCGAAATGCTAATAGATGTAACTTCATATATTCTTGTAATGTTGATATATACTTCTTATTCAAATCCATTTTGTATATTATTCTGTTGTAATGTCAATTTGGAAAAACTTTTCTGTGTTGTCGGCAACAAAATCTCTAACGACTAATTTTGCAGTGTTTGTCGAATTAGAACGCGTCTTGTGGTACGAAAATTGTAACCGAATTTCAAACAGAGTTGTAATTTCTCGCATACGACACACATAATACCAATTAGTCGTTACGACACGTCTACTTGCTATTTTCGATACGACTACGCCAGCCGTAATAAGGGTGATTGATTTTAGGTCCGATGGTCCCCAAAAAAAATTTAAAAGTATATAAATCTAAGACTAATAAAATTTTAAGAATATTTTTACGAGGTCTTCATTGAAGCAAATTTGGATGTGACTGCAAGATCAGGAACATTTTAATTTTTGAGTCCATTTGAACCCTTAAATGTACATCTTTTAAAACAATAGGCTTCAGTTTTGACCCCAAAAACTACCCATATGCAAAATTCCGTGAGGATCGGACGATAATTGTGAACTATCTATAATACTCTCAACACATGCAGAGTGAGTTAAAAAAATTGCAACATAATTTTTACATTTTTTTTAGTTTTATTGAATGAAAGCAGAAAATGTCAGAAATAGCATCAAAATTTAGAATAAGTTTAGATTTGTTCGAATTTGGCACGAATTATGGCCTTCAAACAGCCAATGAAACCGTCATACTCTGCCCGTATGTTGCTCTGCGGTATTTTGGCCCATTCCTGACGAAGCGCTTGATTGAGGTGATCGACATTTTGGTATTTTTGCGTACCAACCTAGCTTCCTAAAATACTCCAGACACAATAGTCCAACGGATTGGTATCCGGAGATTTTGGTGGCCATTGTTCGCTGAAAATTGTTCATTGTAACCATTCTTGGGTGGCGCGTGCTGAATGCGATGGTGCTGAGTCCTGTTGGAATGTCCAAGGGGTTTTGTGTCACAAGGCTTTAATACACCCTCCAGAATATTTTCACGATAATATTCGGCATTTATTCTGATGCTACGGTCGATTGATAAAAGCGGAAAGCTGTTATGGCGGCCCACACCATTACCATGGCCGTCGCTTTAGTTCTGGTGGTTAACCGAAGGTGCACATTTTCAGCTGACCTCTTTGGCAAGTAAACACGATTATTTTGTTTGTTTACAAACTGCTGGACAATCTCATCGGAATGTTTTCTCATCGGAGAAAACCAAATTCGGCAGTTCACCACTTTCGGCCAAGCGAAGCAACTCTTTAGCTCTTTTCAGTCTATTTTCTTTCTGTTACGGTGTAAGTTCTTGCACTTTTTGGAATTGCAATAGCTTTACCCCGAGCTCATTTTTCAATATTTGCCGAATGAAATATTGCGATATATTCAACTCATTTTTCGGCCACTGCGACGCGGGTTTCGCTTCTTTACTTTTCTAACCATTTCTGCTGATGTTGCTGTGTTCTACCGTCCACTTCCTTGACGTCGGGCTAAGCTACCAGCATTGGGTAGTTATTCGTCTAGGATGATCTTGTAAGAATATTTTTATAAATCCAGATTGATCTGCTTGATTGACAAAAAATCCCATAGAAATTCACGGACCTTCCAAATTTTTTCCAGGTAGATTATGTAATAAAAAATCCACAATTTTCGGCATTGAAAATGGTTTTCTCTGCAAGAATTCACGAAGCCCTTGAAACAAATTCTTTAAAAATTCATGATTTTCTGCAAGTAAATTTATGTCGAAAATATTCTAAAAAATCACAATCATCTGCTAGAAAGTCCATGTAAAAAATTATCTCTAAATTTTAACGAGTTTTCTCCAGTGAGGCCCTTAATTAGCAATGTTTGTGTTCTCGTACGAAAAAAAAACGTACATGTTGCGAATTATTCAAGCATTCGAATTGGGTTTTATCAAGTGTTGCAAAACGAAATGTTTTGCTCACGCTTATATTTGCTCCTTGAGATATGCTTTGAATTTGTGATGATAAGATTGAATATAAAAATTAAAAGACAGATGGAAAGTTAAGTCAATGACAAAATATTGGCCAATTAATTACGACATGGAATGGATGAATTTTATTAACATTAGGTAATTTTATTTTTCTAATATTAATTCTGGAAATATGCTTCATAGAAACCAATAGTATTTCTCCCCTAAATAAAACTATACACTTTTCCTTCTTTTTTGTTTTCCTTTATTTTATGTATATACATCCCAATGTTTAAATGTAGAACGGAATTAAATACAAATTACAAATTTTAGTCTTATATTAGTATACCTCTAAACAATGGGAGTAGAATACATAGATACATAGTATTTTGTATGAATCTAATACATACGCACGAATTTTGTTTGAATGTAAATTTTCACATATTGTTTGGGGTTGTAAAATTTATATAAATTAAAAAAAAATAATAATAGTCATAAAATTAAAAGAACACTGACATTTGAAGAATCGAACAGGTAGGTTTTTAAAATAATAATAAAAAAATTAATTTATAATAAAAAATAATCACTTTTTTTCTTTCTTGTTTACATTAATTGTTTTGTTGTTGCTGTTTTTCTAATGTAATGAATGAATGATTAACTTAATAAGTTAAAGTTGAATGACTTTAAGGACTCCTTAGGAGGTGTATGGGTCCGAGTTATTTTTTTATTGTATCTGTTGCTGTCTTTTTCTCTGGGAATGGCTAGCAATCATTGTGAACCATTTGTGTAAGTATCTCGAAAACGTTTCTGAATCAACTGATATGCATTGTAAACTCTGAAATGAAGAAAAGAAAAATTAGAATTAAAATTAAAAATGTTGATAAGGACTTTTAAAGTAGAGAAAGTACAGAAAATTTTGGTGAACGAAGTGCTTGTTTCGAAAGCGAATGTGAAAGAAAAATATCATTCCAAATATGATTTGCAATGGCGTTTTTCTATTCATATTGTCATAAAAATATTAAATATTGTTGCCATAGAAGACCTCTTAAAACTATATCAGGCGAAACAAGTCATATTAAAACCTTTTGATAGCTATTCCGCCATTGAAGTCTTTTAGAAGGTATTTTATAGCTAGCATATATATTGACAATCTTTTGCTAGGTCTTCCTCTGTCTTTAGAACACGTTTTGAAAAGATTTCTGTCTTAACCAATTGTATATTTTATGACATTCTACCTATTCATGGTATTTAAAATGACGTGGGACATATCTGAATTAACTTGGAGAAGACTTAACAAATATCGTTCGAGAAGGCTTTTGTCTTTTGAGTTATTCTTACTTTGATTAGTCCTCGTCCACTTGGAGGTATTTCGATAGGCTTTTTAATTGAATACCTTTTGATCGTCAAACAACATCTGTCTCTAGAAATCCATAGGAAGTTATTCATTTTGTACAGATATCCTTCTGCTGCTGGATATATGGCAATAGAATACCTTATAAAATGGCATGTTTATTGGCATTGAATATCTTCATAAACGACATTTAGAATAACGTCCATTCAGATCCTATTGAAGTATTATTTGTTTGTGAAATATATTTTGAGAAGACTTTAAAGAATGTCACTCAAAAAAATTTTTTGGCCCTTCTGGCTTTGAATAGTAATCTGCAATATTAAGTTAGTTTGATAGGCCATTTTTTAATTCAATACTTTTTGGACGACCAAAAATGTCTGTCTCTAGAAACCCTAATGGAAGTTCATGAATTCATTTTGAAAAGACATTTGCCTCAAAAAAGGAACGCTTAATGGTATTCAATCTACACATAAAAGATGTTTAGAATTACGTCCATCCATATCCTATTGAAGTATTATTCTGGTTGTGAAGGATCTTCTCCTTCTTTTTGTATTTTAGGTTATTCTACCTTTGAAAAGTCATGTGCCAATTGAAGATTTTTCGATTGGTGTTTTTTAAAATGATAACATTTTAGTCATCAGAGAGATTGGGAATATTATGTTTACAGAATACATTTTAAAAGGTACTATGTCCAAATGAACATATTTTGAAATTGTTTGTCTATATTTTGGGATTAGCATTCACTCAATTCAAAAACTTTGGAAGGTCGTATTCAATATAAGTTCTGTTGGAATGATTTTTTCCTACAGAATGTTTTATAAAAACCCTCCTGTAGGTATATTTTTTATATAGGTTCTTCACAAAGGTCTTTTGAAATTTAAACATTTTGAGTGTTTTACCTGAAATTCTTTTAAAAAAAACCTTAAGATTTCCAGTCAACAGAAACCCCTGAGAAATATCTCAAGTTTGCCCGTTTATAGAAATAAATGTATCTTCTGTTCAAATCATATAGGACCTTTGGACATTTGAAAGGTAATTTGTTCATTGAAGACATTTCAGAAGGAGTTCTTTTAAAAAGGCCTTTAACTTCTGAAAACCTTTAAAAAAACTTATGTGTCTTAAGAAGACTTCCATTAATATCAATCCATTTGAAAGATCGTGTATCTATCGAAAAACTATTAGTAGGACTTTTTCTGATAAAATGCTCTATCAAAGCCATTTTGAAAAATCCTTGACCATAAAAAACATTTTGAAAGGAAATATTAAAAGTCTTAGTTCCATTGTGGTTAGACACATTGTATCAATAACTTAAAATGCATTCTTCCGATAAAATAACATTTGAAATGTATTCTTTCAGTTAGATAACGTTTGAAAGATTTGCTGTTTACAGAAGTGCTTCAGAACTTCTACGTATGAAAGACCTTTGGACACGTCGTCTGGCAATATTAATCCTTTGGGATGGGATTCTTTTCCAGCCTTTCTCTCGCTATAGGAGTTTTTCTTAAGACCGCATCCCAACTTGTCTATACAAATACTTTTGAAAGGGTTTGTGTCTAATGAAAACGCCTTGAGAGTTCTTCGGTTTATAGAAGGCTTTTCAAAGCACTGTCAATAAAAATTCTTTTGAAATGTATTTATCGCAGAACCATTGAAAACTTATCTTATTTGTATACTTTTTAAAGTCTTTTTTCTTAGAATAACCGCTTAAAAGGTCTCGTGGCTGGTCTTCCCCTAGAAGAGCTTTTGAAGAATCTTGTATTTTTAAAGATTTTTTTAAAATAACTTAATGAGTTTTCTGTCTTCCGAAGACATTTGGAAAGTCTCCTTTTCGGATGAATATTCAAATGAAATATTTCAATTTTCATATATTCCTCAGTCGAAAAAATATCCCCTATTGGTCCAATGCCATATTTATTTAAATCAAACTTACTTTTCTTTTGCTGCCTTAAATGACTTTTTGCGGGGCTTTTTGTTGATGGCATCTTGATTTTCGGCGTGTAGAGGCAAATCATTTGGCGAAATCATTGTCATATTATCTAAAGAATTGAAAAAAGCAAACATGAATAGAATATTATATTTTAATCAACCAATTAAACCTACCAGGATGACAAAAGAAGGCTATCGAATGGCGACCGCGGGAACGTAAATGCTCTTGTTCGGGTACAACAACACGATGAGGCTGCAATAAATAATAAAAAATTTAATTACTTTGCTCTGAAAATGATTGCCCTCAAATTCAATCCTACCAGAGCTGCATATTTATTTTGTGTCCATATCGAAAGAATTTCACCACAATTCACCAATATTGCCCCCGGCAAATGACCAACCCTATGCCATTTTTCACTGCCAGGCAATTGCACCTCCAAACCACCCTCTGAGTCCTGAGACAATAACGTAAATGTACCATAATCTGTATGGGCACCACAACGTATTACAGCGCCATTGGGCAAATGTCTTTCTGTGGTATTTTTATTATTTTCACCGCCATCCACTTCATTGTATTCATCGCGGGGATCATATTCGGGACGAAAATCGGGTTGCGTGGAGGCACAACGTTGATAACTGTATTTACTACGTCCCTTTACATACGTGTTTTTACTACTTTCATCATCCTCCACAACGGGTGGATAATACAACAGACGCAGAGTGGTTTCATTGTCATGATCGCCCGACAACATGTGTGAATGTTTTTCAAGAAAAAATGTCTGTGGTATGTCGAGTGAAATGGCCAATGCTTGTAGAATGAAACGAGCCAATGCCTTGAAGTCTTCGGCCAAAACTGATATGTGATCGGCAAAACCGGGTAGCGGTTCTTCGGGCAGATTCTTGGCGTTAAGTGTGCAAATGTTGAAAGCGTGGCGCAATTCTGGTGTTTTGCCATCGAATCGTTCGATGCCGGGACTGACATATCCGTGATTGTCATCACCAGTGCGTATGTAATGTTTTTTCACATCGTCTGGTAGATCTACGAAATCATCCAAATGATCCCAGGCAGTTTTCAGCTGTAGATAAAGAAGAAGGGGTAATATTTCAGAAAGTTCGTCATTTATAAATGAATGATGTTATATTTACCTTTTCATCACAGATACCATGATTGACCAAAAGAGCCAAACCTTTTTCTGTCAGAGCTTTGTGTAATTGATGGCCAACGCGTGTGACAACAGATTTTACTGGACATTCTTCGGTGCCTGCAATGATAAAAACAAAAATATATTAATACTTGTTTATTAATAGAATTAATTACAGTTTTAAGAAACTGAGTTTTTAGAAAAACAACATTTTTATTGAAAACGCATTTGAAACAGAAAATAACAAGATATTTTGAAATGTCAATAGTAGACCTTTTAAAGGTTCAAGAGAGAGGTCATTTGCGAATGCCTTTTTATAATCTTTTTAAATCCCTAAACCGGACCTTTTCCAAAGATTTTAGGAGACATTTTTAAAGACTCTTAAAGGACATTTGCGAAGTTTGGAAGAACTCCTCTATAAAGACCATTTAGAAAGATCTATAAAAAAGATTCGAAAATCGATTGAAAACATTTGGTTATAAAGGACCTTTTCCAAGGATTTAAAGGGTCATTTGAAGGCACTAAAAGGACATTTTCAAAGTTTTTGAGACAAGCTCCTCTATAAAGGCCCTTTGGAAAGGCCTAAAGAAAAGATTCGATTGTATTCATTTGGAAATGTTTATTTCAAATGTACATCGAAGATATATTTGGACCTTTTAATAGGTCCTGAGGGGACATTTTCAAATGTCTTAGTCTTTTGTGGATTCTGTAGAAACCCTTTTGCAAGTTCTGTGGAAGGACGTTTTAAATGGTCTGTAGAAGACCTCTGGAAAGGTCTATAGAAGACCTTTTGGAAGGTCTATAGAAGAACTTTTGAAAGGTCTAAAGAAACCTTTTGCAATTTCTATAGAAGACCTTTTGAAAGGTCTATAGAAGACCTTTTCATAGGTCTATAGAAAACCTTTTCAAAGGTCTATAGAAGACCTTTTCAAAGGCCTATAGAAGACGTTTTGAAAGGTTTATAGGAGACCTTTTAAAAGGTCTACCGAAAACGTTTTGCAAGGTCTATAGAAGATCTTTTCAAAGGCCTATGGAAGACCTCTTCAAAGGTCTATAGAAGACCTTCTGCAAGGTCAATAAAATACCAATTTTGAAAGGTCTATAGAAAACCTTTAGAAAGGTCTACTAAATACCTTCTGGAAGGTCTATATATAGATATAGAAGACTTTATGAAGACCTATTGAGACAATTTAAAGAAAAACTTTTAAAAGGTCAGCCCCAGATTTGGCCCATTGTGCAGTGGGGTTACTCCCTCTGCGCCTATTCTCCCGAAAAAATTAGTCTACGGGTATTTTTGATACTTCTTTCCAAGATGGGCACAAAAATGTTATATTCTCAATAATTTGGCCTACAGCGTGCCAATCAGTTTACTTTTGGTCATGTAAAAATTGAATCAGACCATTGCAGATTTGTCCGATGGATTTGCTTTCCGAAATATGAAAAAGTTGTGCTCCAGATTATTGATCTACTGTAGATTCAAAACCAATTCCACCATTAAATGGCGATATGAAACTTGAATCAGATTATTCTGTGTTGCTCCCATAGATCTATATATAAACAAGTAAAAAAAAGCAGTATCTTCGACCGGGCCGAACATTGGAACGAATTTGGCAAAAAAATAAAATCCGTTAAGAATTCTGTTTAAATCTTAAAAATATCATCAAAATACCGAATATTGGGAGGTACCGCTGTATGAGGGAAGACGTGGATCTGCACAGACAATTTTCTGTCATAGACTGTAGTATCCATTACAAGCTTCAATTATAAAATTTGAAACAATTCCGATGAATAATGTCGCTAAAATAATCAAAATATCGAATATCGGGAGGTATCATTATATGAGGGCTATACGAAGACGTGGACCTGCACAGACAACTTTCTGTCTTAGGCTGTAGTATCCATTACGAACTTCAAATATCAAATTTGAAACATTTCCGGTGAATAATGTCGCTTAAATCACCAAAATACCGAAAATGGGGAGGTACCATCATATTGGGGCTATACCAAAACATGTAGGTCATGGCCCATTTTCAATACAAAAAGTCCTGCAGACATAATATATATATATATATATATATATATATATATATATATATATATATTGGAGTAAAATTTTATCAATCTATTTCATTTCCTTCGGAAGCTAGCGTGATTTCCACAGACGGGCGGACATCGAATATATATACTTTGTGGGGTAATATAAATACTTTGGCAATCAGAATATGCTAGTTTCAATAGATATATCTTCCCACATTGGAAGCTCGTTTTGAATTACGAAAAATAGAAGTAGAGATTTCCAATTCTCAAAAATTTATTCAGATTAATTTTTAAAATATTTAAATATTAATGACAATATTTTGAGATATTTTAGTTCGCTTATTAAAAGATGGCGTATTTTTTGGAAAGTTAATATTTCAATAGAATTTTTAAATAAAATGCGACAATAATTATTATTTTTAAATACCTTTATATTATTTTTACATTGACTTCCAAGAATGAACATCACACTCCCAAGAACGTGATTAAAGAAATTAAAAGGGGGATTAACAAAAGTTCTCTGGAACTTGTAATTTACCTTGGGCATTTAAATTGATAATCAGTGGTTTATAGATGTGACTCTACACAAAAAGAAAAATCCGGCAAAATAAAAGATAAAATCCCATACAACAAAAATGTAATTTACAATTACATTGTTGTCAATGCATTCTTTACATAGAGAGAGTGAAAAAAGAGAAAAAAATAACCTTTAATTAATTTATAATAATTCAATGATTGATTTATGTGCAATTATAACAATACAAGTAGATATATAGGAAGGGTGCTGGCAAGAAAACAAAAAACTACACAATGTAATTTAAAATAAACAGCCTTGCGGTAAAGTTCGAATACTTCACAACCTTTGCAACGCAAAACATAGTACAATTTTTACAACATTCATTCATTCATAGATTCATACGAAAAAACACTCATAAATGAATGCAATGCTGAACTGAACTGACAATTATATTATCATCAAATTGTAATTGCTACTTATACAAAAAAAAAAACTTATTAAACTTTAATATATTTTTTTTAATTTCATTTCATGAATAATAAATGCATTTCAACTTTGTGGAAAATGCATACATAACAACAACAACCAATTAGATATCGTGTAATTTACTAGTATTCAATGTAATTAGCTTAGTAATAATTTATAATGAACTTAACTTGAAAATTGGAATTCACCTCGCCTAGTAACTCACTCATGCACTTTTGTTTGGCTGGCTTTTTTTTTCTGCACTTCGCTTCGAAACTAATACAAAAAAATCAAATTTTCACAATTTCTGAATGCCAGCATTTAAAAGGCAATAACAGCAACAACAACAATAGCAAATAACAAATTATATGTTTTGTACAAATGAAATTATTGCTTATTCGCTTTAGTAGAATGGAATACAAACAAAAATAGATTTAAAACATTTGGTTTTATTGGAGCGAAACAAAATCAGTAGAGGATCAAAGTTGAACGGAGTTTGATGATCATTTTCATTAATTTGAGAGTTTTGGAATTGATGATTCAAACTGAAATTAATACTGCAGATTTGAATGAAAGAACGAATGTATGATTTAAATTAATCCGGACAGAAAAATAATTACAGACTCAGATGTATCTTTTGGCTGGATATAAATGTGAGTTTTAGCCATATGGTGCACAAAAATCTTGAAATCGGATAAAGATCTATATGGGAGTTATATCCAAATGTGAACGGATCTTGACAAAATTTTGAACATTTATTTCTGTGCTGCATCGATAACCGGTACCAAAGATTATTGTTGTGGAGGGCAAGTTACACATGTGAGGGACTGAAATCACCAAACGTATATATGGGAGTTATAGCTATATCTGAACCGATTTTCACCAAATTTTTAATTTAATTTGATGGAGATTTTGACTCGGAGTGGACACGTGTTAAATTAACAGTAAAAAAATAAACACAGAATTTTCACTTTTAGTGCATAAATTTTGAATGTAATTTTCATAAAAAATTCTGTGCCCAGATATATGTTTTGTTCTGACAGTACGTTTACATATAAATGGGTTAACCCACTGGATTGGGATTAAAATTGTCATATCCATTACTTAAACTTCAAATAAATCCTCTTAAAGTAGGTTAACCCCACAAAAAGTTCTAACGTAAACATGGCATGAGATTTATACTGAAATTTTGTGTAGAATATTTCTTCTTGTGACTGCTTCTACCTAAAATGAAATTTTATGCTACTTTCAGGCATGACCTCGAACTTGATCAAAAAAATAGGAAATATTTTCGGTTTCCTTTTTGTGTACATTGAAATAAATATTTTTTTTTGATATGCAGTGGACTTACAGTGAAATTTGATGAAAAATTTTGGTCCTTGACGTCATCATTCTAAAGTGGTTCTTTGTAGGATATTTTTGCATAAAGTCGCTAATGTACGGTGGTTTCAATCCTAAAATGTTTTTTAGATATACATTTCTGGCGTTTAGGTAAGATTCAGACTTCTGACGTCTTCCAGGACCTGTAGTAGAATTTTGTTACAAATAATTTTGTAAAATATTTTGACTTGTTACGATCCCGTTTAAAGACTTTTTAGCCATATTTTTAGAAAAACACCAAATAGACTCTAAAGTTAGGTCTTAACCCTAAAATATTTTTGGGATATATATGAATTCCTGACGTTTAGGTAAGCTTTAGACACCTGACACGGCCGAATTTTATGACAGATAATATTGTAGAATATTTTGACTGGCTACGATCCAAATTAAGGGTAGTTTCTAAGCATATTTTCAAAAAAGAACCAAAAAGATTCCTTTGTTGTCTCACTTCAGGTTTAAATTTTTCTACCAAAATAATCCTCTTGGTTATATCTGCAAAATTTATGGAATATTTTAACTCGCTACGATCCTGTTTATAGGCAGTTTTTGTTTTTGTTTTTTTGTTTTCTCGCTTGAGGGTTAAATTTTTCGACCAAAATAATTATTTTGGTTTTATCTGCAATATTTCCAAAGACACTATGTAGCCAAAAGCAATGAATTCCAAGGAATTTTAATCCGAATATTTCAAAAACAAATCAAAAAGTAGTAAGTTCGGCAGGGC